GTAACTTATGGGACCAAGAATGAATGTTATTTATGTCCAATATACTGAATTTTGTATTAACCCTATTTTTCAAGAGAAATTTTTTTTAAACGTTGTGCGACAGTGAAAACCTATCAATAATAAATGATATTTTTTTACTTCAGCGCGATTTCCAAACCATTTGTAGATGCATTTGAAATTTAACATGTTAAAATGTAGATGACAAATGTACGAATACTCGAAATTCATATTTATCGAGCGAAAATTATATTATTGTATATGAAATACGTGTTAATGGACATATCCCTTGAATTTCAATGCATATATATATCTATATTTTGTAACTGCATTTTTAAATTGCCACATGAAATCTGCTTGAACTCTTGAACAAAATTGAATAAAAAAAATGCAGTTAGAATAAAAGTTATATACGCGTAAGTATTCGAAAATTATGTCCGAATAAACGAACAATATACGCGATTCGAAAATGCTCGATGAAACCCCGAAACTTTTTGTTGCGCTTTTCCAATTCATTCTCTGCTCTGCGAAATCGTAATCATCGTTGATTATGTCATACGCATTATTAATCAAAGTTTAAAAACGCATTATTCACGAAATCGATTTGGCAGAGACATTACTGACATTATTATTAATGATACCGGCGAAATCAATTTTGCAGGTGGATATTGTGCGCGGATAAATGAAAAGGTACTTACTTTCTCGATTGTACACATTGTCGTGGAAGCGTTATTAAATTTATATCAGTGCTTTATATAGATCATTTCGCATTGCATTACATTCATACACGCGTGTTGCTCGATAAAAGAAAAAAATCATTTCTCCGCTTATTTAACGTGAGAAATAAATGTTAAAAAAAAGCTCTTTACCTTTCAATTTTACCAACTCAAGCACAAAATTATCCCGAAATTATTTGTGTTGGATGAAAGAAATTTTTGACAATTATAATTACCTATAAATTAAATTAAACAAATTTTTTTCCAAAATATCGTTCGACATAAACAGATCAGTTTACTCGACGCGTCGAAGAAACGCCGTTTAATTAATGAAAAGCTCAAGTTAAATAAATTTCTCGCGTACACACGTGCTATATATACACCGTGGACCACTAGTATGTGCAACGTGCCTGTCTCTCGCGGCGCGTACACGACAATGGAATACTTAGATCCTGCTGTAGCTCCTCCCCCACGCGCCATTTTCCATTGTCTTATGATTTATGTTCCCTGGTCGCGGTGTCAACAGGGTATTGATTAAAATACACACATAGCCGTACCCCCTCTGGTCGTGCATACAGATTTATGCACACACCGGACGGCCGGAGTGTGTGACATCGTCGTCCCTTGTAAATCGACCTCTTCCTTCTCTCTCTCTCTCTCGCTTTCATATCTATATATCCCAATACTCGCCCCGGAGCGCGTTGATTGTGTTAACCGTGTAAAAAGCGCTAGGCACGCTTCCAGGTCGAATCGTTTAACGAGGAACATCCTTATATGGGGACCAAACGCCTATTCGAAAATCCTTCGACGTTCTCTCTCTCTCTCTCGACCGAACACATAGAATACCCTGAGAATACTCGGTCGTAAAGTTTATTTTCTTCCTCGTCGAGCAATGCGACCAGCTGCAGTGGTATTCGCAGAATTATGCCACGCAAGTTGAACGAGAAAGCGCTTCTTGTCGCTCTCGGCAGCGCAACGGCGGATGCGCGCGGATGCAAATCGCGGGAGTTGGTTGGTCGCGCGATGGAATCTCGAGTGGAGAGAAGAGGAAGAAACGCGGGCGCGAGATATATATATATATATAAGAGGGAGTCATATTTCGATTTTACGTCGGGCGCAATTTGCGTACGTAAGTCGCGGCAAGATATGCGTCAAACGTGGATCCTGACGCATAAACGAGAGAGCGTCGCTGTGTGTAATCCATTATGCGCCATCCATTTAATTTAAATATCTAGAGAGAGAGTTAATAATCCGAGACGAGCTGCGAAAAATCCGCGAATCGCGGATCGTAATCATATGAATACGTATGTATATCGCGATTCAATTCACGCTCGGATATATAATGCCGTGTTATCGCGGAAGCTTTGACAACGCTACGATTTCCTTCCACTTCAGTGTTTCGTATAGTTCAGTAAACCTTAACTGCGTGATATTGCGTGAATGTTGGCCCTATCTATGTGCAAACAATGATATACATGAAAACGATAAAATTAGTAGGTTGAAATTGCTAAATTGCAGTAAAATTATTATTATATAGAAAATTTTAGAAAATAAATATGTACAGCGATAATAATTCTAAAATATATATATATATATATATATATATATATATATATACATTGCAGAAGAGAATCTGCATTTGTTGCGATACCGCACTTTTGATCTATTATTGGAAAACATTGCAAAGTATTTCTGCGAGTTTCGTAATTTTTTCTTCTTTTTGAAAGAGATGTACACTAATTACTCTATGGCAATTAGAAAGCTGGAAATTTATTAACTACTTGTCTAGCAACATTGTTCCGCTTACTTAAATGCACGGGCAAAGCATTGCTGTAAGTAATTTGCACCGTTGGGTTCGCGTTTTCTTCATTACTCTTACTCTTCGCTAAAATGTTTCCTCGTTATTCATACTCACGCGCCGCTTCTTTTTACTTCTTGTCATTCTTAATGGAAAGCACACTTATAATTCACGTATTACGATACAAATAATTTTTCATCAAGCGGATAAGAAAAATGACTCGCGAGATATCATTTCTTCAAAGAGTCTCCTCCGTACAATTTACGAATAAATTCCCGAGATTTCTCGGATTTAGACAAACACATATTTCATTCGAAATTAAAAGTTATACGCTGCAGGGTTTTGTCCATTAATCTGCAATTACTTATTCGGTTCTTAAAAATGCCGAAAAATGGCAATTTGCGAGAAGAAAAAGGGTGCATTCCACCCTATCTCGACGCAGACACGCAAACATCGAAAAACGAAGGCGCATCCGCTGGCGCGAAAACTCGTGGGTCGACGAAGTGACTCTTTATCTTAAGAGAGTCATTTTGCCCTCTTCGCTCCCTTTCCTCTCCACAGGAGGTTTTTCTCTCGACTCGAGTGCCATCCCTTAAGCTTCACTCGGATATCACCGACACACTCCCCTTTCTCTCTCCCCCATACCGACATTTTATTTATTATCCGCAGTTAACTCCAGCGGACCGCAACATCCGGGCGAAGCTTTTCGTCCGAAGTTAGCCGCAAGAGCGACCGCCCCAAAGGATCTGATGCGTGAAGCGCGTATTCATTGCGACGCGAAACCGCGTATCTTCTCCCCTTCGGGGATTCCGCCTGCATCGCATTCTTTAAAAGACGACCGGTCTTTTGAGAGAGGATCCACTAATTGCAACGTCGTCTTTCAGGACTTTTGGCTTTCGTGTCGGACGAGCCGGGAATTTCGGTTACCGGTATAAATGCTAGACACCTTTAGAACCCAAGAAACCTTCTGCTTTTGACCCCTTTGGATGTCTTTGACCCCAAGCTTCTTTTACGAGCATGTTCGCGATCGGACGATGTATTTACGATCATGCGATATCGGCGTTTAAAAAAAAACTAACAATTTTGTAAAAGCGACAAGATGCAAAGGGGGAGAATAGAAAAAACGCAAGATTTTGTCAAATCTATCTTTCGCGAAATATTTCGAGGATGAAAATATTCCTTTCGGAGGATCCTCGCGCTCGAATTTGTGCAAATCGGAATCAAGGCAATCGAATCTCATCAATTTTCGAAATTTCCTCTCTTAGGAGTGACGTTACATACATATACAGGATGTCCGGTAACTAACGGACCAATGATTAAGGGCGGATTCTCTGGCCAATTTGGAGACGATTTTTCCTTAGCAAAAATGTTGAGAAGTCAATAATTTTCGAGTTATAAGCGATTGAAAAAAATTAATTTCAGGTAGAGTTTATATTATAATAAAATTTTAATTCGAGGCTTATAGTTATAAAGATACATAATGACAAATATTGGAAAGTTGTAAAAAATGATGACTTTTTTCGACATTTTCGCTGAGGAAAAATCGTTCCCAAATTGACCAAAGAATCCATTTGTAATCGTTGGTCCGTTAGTTACCGGACACCCTGTATATCTATTAGATTCTCGGCGTCTGTGTGAAGAGAAAACCGAGGCGATTTCAACGACGCATTTAGGCGGTATTGTAGAAAATTAGTATCGAGCTGCTGCATTCGAAGCTTGTTCAGGATTTACGTTCCGGTGACACAATACGGCGTAGTTACGTCGACTGTCGCCCAGCGTACGCTGTAAAAAGCACCAACGCGAGAGCGATCACGAATGGATAATTATTACACGTCGCTTGATTCGTCTCGACGTCAATGACATACCGGCTGCATTTACGGCATTCAAAGGAGGTAGGATGCCGATGCCATTTTGCAAAACGCGGACGCGTTAAATACAAAATTTTATTCTTACTCCGAGTCGATCGAATATCTTAAAGATATATCTCTCATAAATAGTCCGTCGATTTCAGAATATCTTATAAATTTATAATTGTGTGATAAAATAGAGCGCGATATTTTACACGTAATTTGTCGCGTGTATAAATTATATTTAATTAATTGAAAAATTATGCATTTTTAAAGCTGGACATAATGAAATGTCAAAAGAGACGATTTATGTGATCGGTGTTGAAATAAAATTGATGAAAATTTGAGAAATATTTATATACAATATTATTGAAAGACATGTTGAAAAAAGAGAGATTACCAAAGTCAAGCCTCGAAGAAAGAGAGTGACGTTCTCGCGAAATCCGATGGAACTCCCCATTTCACCATTACGGTGTTGAAGAAAAAGTTATCACGTCGTCGGACGAGATACAACCGAGCGTGATATTACGCAATAGAGAGCCGAAAGGACGGTGTGGAATTTCCAGCTTGATTTAGGAAAGTAGCGGAAGAGGAACATTTCACGCTTCCCTTCACGACAGCACAGGACGTGATAGTACTCACCTCGATGTATGACCTTGCTGAACACACTGGTGATGATCTGCAGCTCAGAATTTAACGTATCGCCGAGCTGAAACAGAAAACAGTTTTCTTTGTGCATCCGGCTAAACGACAGTGACACCTTACTAATACACACGTACATTATCGAGGTCGACAATGTGTCCCTTCGCCTTCTCTCTCTCTCTCTCTCTCTCACTTTCTGTCGCATCATTCTCCTCGCCTTGATACGTTTTCCATCGATTTCCCATGAAAAGGGGTTGTTCGGTCGCTGCTAAGTGCACCGTATAAAGAGGTGAAGGCAAAGAGTCGTTTCGAAAGTTCTACATTGGGCGCGCCATTAAAGGTAACCATAAAACCCAACTAAACCGCGGACTTTAAAGTAACGATAAATAATAAAAGTTGATCCGGCCACGGATCCACCGTCGATCAAAAGTTTCGCCGTTTCCCATCCCGTGACGTGAAATTATCGCTGCCTCTCCACTATGTCGCTCCGTAAATAAAGGGTAAACAAGGGGCTATAATGATGGATAAAAAGGAAACGAAATACGATCGCGAAGAGACTGTGCACGACACAGATATCCAATGGATATTCTTCGGTATCCAGATTTATGGGTACGCTCGTTAATTAAAACTGTCAATGTCTATTTCGCGGCTAAAAGACGATCGTATATAAATTATAAAATACATTTTAAAAATGTGTACATTATATATTTTATTTAATTGTATTATATTATATTTTTATCTCCTCGATTATCTTTTCGTTTCGATAAAATGTACTTTTCTCTCGATAAATGTGCTCTGATATTAAAATTTGAAAATATCACAGGCACTGTAATTTAAATGTTTTAAGACAGAGTCAACTTTATTAAGTATTCGCGCGAAATCAGACTCTAATATATCTCTCTGACGTTTATAGGTTTCATTACCATTTTATGATACTGCTATTATCGCAACCAAACGTACGATAACACACAAAATTACCTGAACGCGTTGAAGGTCTGCCGTGTAAAAAAGTCGAGAGTTTATTTTATTTTTCTATCCAGATATATATATATATATACTTTATACTTGAGAATTACACGGGACGTAATCGAGATTCTCAGTTGCGAGAGACGGGCAAGCAGACGTCGACGGTTTAATCTCCGTTTAAATTTGTTGTAATAAAGGGAGCCTAATCTTAATTATGAGCTAAGAGAATTAATCTCAATGACGGCCGTCCTTAAACGTCCTTAATCTTGTCACTCTGGAATAAAATTAGCTGGCAAGATTCGCGATAATCGTCTCCTAATATTCATTTAATTGAAAGGGAATATTTTTACCATTGATATTGATACGAGAAAAAATTCGGAAACACGCTGATATGTTTTATACAAATAATATGGAAATTTGAATCTCTATACAAATTCAAAAGAGAATACAAATGTGAAAAAAAATGTTGTTAACAATAAGAACATATCTTTTCTCTATCAAAAATGATTAATGTATATTGTTTCACATTTTTGCTTAAATTATTGTAGGTTTTAAAATTACGTTACATGATTATATTTCATTAATCCGCTCTTTACTCAACGTAATTTAATGTTCAATATATTGCATAATTAAAGTACCGCGAAATCAGCTACATTAAATCCTGACATCGTTCGGCCAAAGTCTATCTAGTTAAATCCGGTCTGCAATTGCGGGTTACGCCGTCAGCATGTTGCTACTTGTTTGGCAAATCAAGTGTACACTAATTTGTAATTGTAGCTTCGTAATTTCCGCGGTAGTCGGGCAATAAACAAGCTAGAACGACGCCCCGTCCTGAGATCGTATCGATCGCGCAAGAAAGGAAGGGAGAGAGAGAGCGAGAGAGACCGGGATCCTTCTAGTCTCCCTCGACCGCGTACTATAGTTATCACGGATAAAGGATATTGCACCCAACCGGTGCAGGGAACAGCCAATGCTCGATTTCGCGTCATATTATGCAGTCCACCCGACGGACGTGGAGAATTAGCAGGCCCGATTCTCTCTCTCTCTTCGTTTCCCTCTGGCGACGACATAGAATCCTTCATGTCGACCGAATTTCTCCCTACCGTTTGATAGCGCGTAATTCTCGTCTTCTTGTCATTAGATCAGGACAGTGCCGACTGGCGGTCGCGCTAAATTGACGCATGGCGTAATTGCGGATCAGTAATTTCCTCGCAGCACGTAAGTGATAAACAGCCGAGTGCGCTAATCATCACTTGTTCATTCGATAAGGGATATTTGTCTACTAAATGGGGGCGACAATGTCTCCATCATCCAATTACGATTGAACAATTATGCTGAACCTTTCACTTTCAAAGAACGAAGTAAGATGAAATTCGATGTATTTTAGGTACATGCAAAAATTTCTCTAACAAACTAGTTCTCCGATGAGTCAGAAGTAAATTCGCTGGAAATATAAAGTCGCCGGACTAGCGTGTCGCGAATAAACTTTTTATCCGCACTCCATTCGAACATACATCGCAGGATTTCGAAACTTTTTGTCCAATAGCTTTCCAACATCGTGTGTTTATACTTCATAGATTTTAGGTTCTGGCTCGTATTTTTCCAAGAAACTTTCGATTCCGTTTAATCACCGTAGTTCGTGTATAGTTTTCTCTCGCTGACCTTTCGACATTCAATAAAACAATTGCTGCGCAGTAGCACGAACCATTTATACATTGCACGATCGTTGCAAGGTCAGAATTAAATGGCGCGCAATCATGTGCCGATTATTGTGTAATTGTACAAATTACGACAATTGCAATAATTATGCGTGTTTCTTATAGCGCGCCTATTATAACAAATTGGGTGTTAAAATCGGAGCTTATACCCGACATAAAGTATCGCACCAAAAATATACAAGTAGATCTCGTTATATTTGATTTTTCCTCAGCAAAAATCTCGAGGGAGACCATCATTTTTCGAATGTTCCCAATTTTTGTCATCGTATATCTTTATAACTAAACCTTAAATTAAAATTTTATTAAAGTAAACTCTACTTTGAAATTAATTGGAGAATGCGTTATTTTATATCCTCACGAATATCTTTGTTTGCAAAAAACCCTTTATTCTCACTCGCTTATAACTCGAAAACGATCGATGCCTCAATATTTTTACTGAGGAATAATTGTGTCGAAATAACAAGACCTACTTGCATATTTTCAGTGTGACACCTTACGTCAGATACCCTTGTTATAAAACAGTTATATAAAACGTTATCGTATTATACAAAGTCTCCTTTATCAATTAGCGTATATATCATATTGATGCTGGAAATCTATTTGGTGGCAAAGTTTTCAGTATTCCGCGTTAAAACGTCAACGGAGTTCGTTTAGATCGTAGAAGTACCGACGCTATCACTGGGGTACCGACTCATTTGGATCTCATCCTTCAGACACCCCAGGGTATAATCCGTTTGAATTACAGTCGTCAACCCCGTTGCCTCCAGACACGCCTTTACGATCTATTCGTCGGGAGATCGAGCACCTGTTAAAGGTTTCCAGGAAGGATGATGCCGCAGCGTCCGCTTTGGGATTATTCAAAACGCCGAGAGCCTTTCGGACGCGCGAATTTATCCGAATTATACTTTGGCCTCATTGGAATTTAGCATTTCGCGCAGTGAAAATTACAAATCACTTCGCGGTCATCCCGAAAATATTTCCTATTTATGCGCGGACTTTAATTTATGATATTCCAAACTTTCTCTCATTCATCATGAATAAAATCAACGCTTTCTCTCCGCGCGCGCGTTCAAACATTTCATTTAATATTATTTACATACACATATATATATATATATATATATTATAAAACTGCGCAAAAAAAAAATAAATAATAATTCAAACGAATAATTCTAAATATATAAAAATTCAATTTACATGTTACCTTCTCATCACCGTGAAAAGTTAATTCGAGATCGAAGCTAGTAAAAGATCCCTTGGACTCGCGTAAGCCCCGAAGCTGCATGCCGCATTGAATATTTATAACTTATCTGTCATATTAATCAGTCGACGAGCTACGGCGAGCAACGAGAGCTTATGTAATGGCGCACGTAGCGACGCGGCTGTAAACTCCGGCGGAAAAAGTGCTATTATGCTCGGCATTATCGCGTCGGCGAACTCTCATTTCATCGTCTTGCAGCCATCACCGTCGTCTTAGAGCTCGCTCGTAAACATCCTCTTAAAATATTCAAAAGTTGCTGTCGTTTGTCGACGGCTGAGTCAAAGTGCGTCGTTACGTCCTATAGTCGTTAGACGCACACACACACACACACACAGGATCTCTCTCTCTCTTGCTCTCTTTTCCTCCCTTTCATCCGTTTTTCCGCCGCGATTTCGAAGGCTAAGTTGCTAAAGAGAACAGAAAACGGACGGAAAAGACCGCTCCCTCAGGGTGCAAGCGAGGGCGCGCTCGGGAGAGACAGAAGGTCGCGTCGCTGAAAGTTTCAAAGTTATTCCGAAGGTAAATACATAGTCGGTAGTAGTTATTGCATGTTTTATATGGCGCCCTTCTCTTCCGGGAGAAAGGAAAGGGAGCGAGAGAGGCATTACGTGACGATAATCTCTTTCATTTTAGATTGTGATATGCGAGAAACATTCTACTTTTTTTCTCGGCGAAAAATAAGTTTGCTCGTGCTTTTCTATGCATTTCTATTCGAATAATATACGACTGGAAATTTGTCAGGTCGTTCGCTTCCACTATACAAACGAAAATTATATGCATACATTTAATAAACACATTAATTCTGCGTATCTAATTTTACTCGTCAAAATAAAATTTCATAAAAATCTACTGTTATAGAAATGTTAATCCTTGAAATATTTTATTTGTGCAAAAAATCCTTTTTACAAGATTAATTTACTTTTCAATTTTAACTCTTTTGTATCGTGTATAAATTTGTAGGATATTTGTATATAATTTAATAACAAATTATAGGACAAAGGGCCAAATAATTATATATAATTTAATAACAAATTTCTTTCTATCCTTGTTAATAACACACGTTTCTCTCTTTCTCTTTAAAAGTGGGATTCTCTTGTTAGTAAAATAAAGAAAAATTTATGGAGAAAAAAGTAGTAAATATGACATAACGTTGTCTCATCGAGGAAGGCAGATTTGGTTTGCAGACAATCTGTAAGAAGTTGTTGGAAACAGTTATCCATGAGCGTTGAAGCAAGATAATTGTTTCACGGTAATAATTTTGCTACTCGAAAAGAAGAAAATGCGGACGGGATATGCGTTTATTATTTTCCGTGTATTAAAATCGCATCGCTTTGATCGATACAATCCGATTTATTCGTACACATATTTCGCGGATCCGATATTGTTGCGATGCAAAAAAAAAAGTATAATGACAAATCCAGTTATTGTAAGATAATGTATAATATACATTGTGTCGTGTAATATATGCGAATATCGCAAATGTAATTTGAAAATTGTATCACAAATATTTATATATATGTGTATATATTTACGAGTTATATTTCCAACTCAAATATTTCGTTATTATTAACATACTGATACGTCTGTAAGCTTCCAAGACAATGCATAATATTCTTGCACTTTAACAAAAGAATTTTTTGAAAATTTTGATGAGAATTTAATTTTACAATTAATTATTGCGATTTGTGTGCTTTACGAAATAAAAAGGTTTATAATTTAAAAAATTGTGTTGATCTTTATAAATAAAATGTATGATTCAAGATTGTATAAACGTGTACAATTTATAAACTTGTTGATTTATCGATTTATTGTGCTTTTATCCAACCGACAGGCGTGCAAACATCGTGATTGTCTACCTTAGGGGATAACCGTCAGTAGTACGAGTCGGCGTTTATATCGAGAAGAATGGGAAGAAATAAACCGACGAGAGAGAGAGTAAGAAAGACGAGAAAGAGAGATACGTAAACAAGGGATAGAAGGATCGCGACGCAGATTTAACTGGTGCGCGGAACCAGAAACTTCCTCTCAAAACTTTAGAATTTATTCCCGTGTTAAGCGCCGCACGCGTCTTGGGAAAGTTACCGCATGTTTGTTCTCGCAGTTCTTCGACCAAAATAATTATGCCATAATAATGATATTGTTGGTTGAAAATGTAAGAGCTGCCGTCGCGTGTTGTTTGAAAAAATAATGGATAATAGTTTGCTCTTGCCGAAGTGTAATTAATGCCCATTTAAGAAACTTTACCGTTCTACTACAACATACTCACATAAGCGTGTACTTTGAAAGCAGCATTTTATACGAGTTTTCCTTCTGTCCGGAAAAACATGTTTATCTCTCTGTCTGAACACATCTTTCATCGCGTATTATTTTCGATGAAATTTTACAAAATTTATCCAGCTTTATTTAATTTCATTATTCCACAATTTATTAAATTAATTTCTAAAGGTATAAAAAGCTTCTATTAAATTGCTTTGTTCAATATTCATCTGTGCAAAGTGCAGTTGTAGCAAAGAAATTTTAATTAAAAAAAAAAAAATTAAAATAAATTTAAAAGAGAGACAATTAATATATCCGAATATTCATTTATTTCGCAGCTAAGCAAGCGTTATTAGCGCGGCTGGCTAGCATCTGTCACGCGCTAACTACTGTAATCTCTGTTACGCCGAATGCATTTGTAAAGGGGAAGCTAAGTGCGGTCCAAAGTCGAAAGTTAGTATCACGATATGCCCCATTAGGAACGGGCTTCGCTAGAACACGATGGCTTGACAAGAGTCGAGAGATGGGAAACGACGAAGGTGTTAACTGCCAACATAATTATTAATTTACGCGCTTCGTTCACTTGATTAAACGGAGAGTCATTGACACGCAGATCATCATCACCAAATTGTAAATGAATTTTTTTTTTTTCACACGCTTCTCTTACGTCGTTATATTGATTATATATATATGGCGGAGGAGCTAAGATCTGCGCGATCTAATTACGTCTTTATTAATGGTGTATAAAATTAAATGGCTGTAATTTATAGCGTGGAAGAGTTGTCGCGCGAAAAACTGTCGCAGATTAAAATAATTTGAAAAATGGACAAAACTTTCGTCGAGAACGAGAGAGAGAGAGAGAGAAATAGAGCACGCTCGATGAAACACTCACCTGCACCATTAACGAAATCGCCACCAGTCCTTGACTTTTATGCTGCGCCTCGCTCATATTGTGATACAGTTCGGCGTTAAAGCCGTAGACTTGTATCTGCAACAGAGAAAACCCACAAAGAAATTACTTTTCGGCGGAAAATCGTGCCGCGAGTATAACCGTATCTCCCGCAATGCGATCACTCCGACAAATTCCGTTTTCGCACGAACAAATTCTCGAGTTTAGAGTTTAGATTCTAGAACATTTCGTGCCCGAAGAGATGCCTCGTATTACGCCGTTTCTCCTCCCTCTTCTCGTTTGCTCCTTGCTTCTATCTGCTCTCGAGATCGACTCACTACGTTGCTAATCACGCCTCTCCTAGACAGTTGCCGGCTTTATTGCGCTTAATTAAACGCCAAGCGATATATTAAATATCGAGCAATTTTTTTATGTTAATCGCGTCCGCGATAAGAATATTTATTTAATGAAAAACATGTTAATATGTATAATTTTCTTAGATATTAATTTTTTAGAAAGCTTAATACACGCACATATATAAAAGTTAATGTTATATAAAATTAAAATTTTCTATTGTTTATTCTTTATTGTCTATTCTTACATAGGTTTCCACAGTATGCTCGATATTATTAAAAATTGAAGAAATCGATAAAAAATTCCACAATATGATCTATGCGTTCGAGATATTCGCGGCTTCATCTTGTATGCTCTAAATAAATATTCCACAAATATTTTCATCAGACACATACCTATTAAATCACATTCTTACGCAAGTATATAAACTTCGGAGAGCACCAAGATTCTTAAGCACATACCGTACCACGGATGCATTTTTCCTTTGGCATTTTTGTATGTTTCTTCTCTTAATCTTCGTTTTTTAATAAATAAAAATATTTTTATGCTATATATATATATAAATATTTTTATTTATTAAAAAATAAATATATACATATAGATATGTGTATGCGTGCGTATACATTTTTTTGTAGAAATATAAAAATTTTTCAAGATTTTCTTCGATCATATTTCCTTTTTCAGAGATGTTTCGACTTTACTTTCATATTTTATACCTATAAAAGTGGGTCGTCGAATGTAGCTATATTATTATGATTTATATTTCATTATAATTGCTATATCCACTGTAAATTCACTGTAAAATATGTTGATAAGAATGAAGTTAATGAAAAGGACGCGCGCCATACATCATTCTTTCTCGAATCTAGAATGATATCTGTAGAGCATATATATACATATACATATATGTATGTATGCAGACAAGTCGCAAGACGAATCTATCATCGGTGTATACACAGGAGAGCGGCGTTCAGTTTATAGAGGAACGGAAAGCAAGTCGCTCGTGAAATGTATCTTGTTTTTGGGACATACATCTCGTTCCGTGTCTTATTCCCCGCGAATGTCACCTGCTATAAGTTCTGTATGCTGGATAAAGCGCGGAAAAGATGCGACGTGTACGTGTCTTCTTCGCGAAGAAAAGGATTTCGCCGCGATCGCTTTCCTTTGACGTTATTCTCCACCTTTCTCGTATTCTCTCCACCTTGTCCTTTTTTACCCCGTAACCGTATATCTGTTTCTTTCTACTAGGTAATAGCATTGCCACGGCACTTCCGGTTATGCCTAAGGGTATCTGAAATGCCCGCGACGTGACGAGTTCTTCTTCAAAGACGGCGGATATGCCGCTGGAAGGGAGCAAGGATATGAAGAACGGGAGGGGGAGGGAGGATAGAGAAGGATATCGAGGTATATATGAGGAAGAAAAAGATAGCGCGATCGAGGAGAGAAGAGGAGAGAAAGGAAGGGATTGCCGGGAGTGAGTGTAAATCCACTGCGTCTGATCAAAGTACGACTCGTACTACTAGGAATAGGAAAGATTCTCTCTTTCTTTTCATTTTCGTGAAATTTCCTCCCCCCTCCTCCACCCCTTCTCCACCCTCACACAGCACGTCCCTTCATCTCTTCTCTGCCTTTTAGCAAGATATTTTTCTCTCGCTGGCGTTTCGTTCGTCGAAGTCGGGACTCCTTCTCTCTTTTTCCTTCCTTCTCTGTCTCTCCCCGTCACGTGGTACATCGAAAAATCTTGTACCTTCTTAAATGCGATTCTATTTTCAATCGACGAGTCGCGACAGATGGTTTATTGACATGATATCGACAAGAGTGGGAATAAAATTACGGCGTGCTCAAATTTTAATGCGCTTTGAAAATTGAAAAGCAGAAATGGATTAAAATATTATTTTCGTGTTCGTTTCATGCATTATAAAACGAGTAATTAAAAATGTGGATCGTGCATTTAATTTACATACACGTTCAAATATTTATAGATGCGTAATAACATTATTGACATATATTTGAATCTATTCTCCATATAAAAATACCTCGTATTATTGATAAAAGATCTTAATTTTTATTGCCACTGAAATATGTTTTTTTATTCAAATAACCGTATACCCTTATTATTTTCATATTAATTTAAGTGCATCGTTTGCATTTACGCTTGATTTGCTACATTGTTCTCTGTTATTTCAATTTGCGTCCTTAATAAAATAAGTAAACACATGAGAATGCGAAACTGAGAGGAGAGTTCGTGTTGGGTGTAACTTTTCAACAAGTTAAAGAAAGAAGAAATTAAGTGAATCAGCAAAACGACTTATTTCGACGTTTGATTGACAGTTTTTACATGCAAACTGAAAGTTTCAATATTTATCGCAGGCAAACAGAAGCAGAAGTTAGGTACGAAAACAACAGCGTCTATGGAGAGTTCAGAGAGCATGCATTTAAACTTCATGAAATTTAATGTATGAATATATTTCAAGACACTATCTACCTACAACTGGTTTTAAGGAGTACGTGTATGCGTCTATAACCGCAACTTTTTCCAATATATCCGAAAAGACGTTATCGTGTACGAGTGTTTTGATGCGTTATTAAAAGTTCTGAAACAATTTTGTCAAGACATGCAGAATCGATACTTTCTCTTCCTTTTTTCTTAGAAGATAATAAAAAACTCTTTCAATTATGTACCTGACTTATATATGCGACAGTCGTATAATTTATTTGACCTCTCGTCAAAGTGAATGTTCCTTTAATATAGCTACACCTAATTTCGAAACATTATAAATAGAATTTTCTCTTGCTTCCTTCTTTTAGATTGTCTTATACAGTCAATCAATACGGCTGAAGAGAGAAATATAATCTTAAGAAGTATTCAACAAATCAGCTTTCTCAGCATGCTTGTTATAATGTTACTGATGCAGATTCACAAAGTTTACCCCTTGAGTTTTATAAAAAGCAGGCCATGATAAAAATATTTTCCATTTTAAGCTTCTTTTCCTCCGTCCGGCAAATGAAACAATTTCAATGTAGCGTGTACGGAATAAAATGCAGTTCACATTACGGCGTTTTGTTAATTAACTAACTAACTTTACGCTGACAAATAAGATTACGCAATATTTCGACTTCTTGACAAAGATGTATAATTTATATTATAAAATATACACACGAACTTTTAGTGAAAAGTAAAGCTGTGGTACTTCTTCCTCCGGTAGCTCCATTATCTCGTATAAGAGCCCGGGGTAAAATTCTGCGGTTCTTAGCCAGGCGGCGATCCTAAAATTCGTTGTCACGGGCAAGCAAAATCCTACTTGACGACCGAGCTCTAAGGCGGTATATGGTCGAGCTTTCTGAAATTCGCTACGCCCTAGAAATTCGGAATTCACCGCGAGTAACCCGCGAAGTGCCGAGCTGGCCCTCTTTTTCCTTTAAGCGCCTACACACTTCACGTGTACCATCCGATCTCGTCGTATCTCGTGCACTCTGTGCCTCTCATCCGATGCCTTTTTCACGACCGCCTCTCCACGTGCTTTACCCGCCACTTTGTCCGCCACTAGAGCATAATCACCACGCTGCGAAGACCGCGACGAGTTCGCAAACACAGCCGCCGCATTCGGTAAATGCATTATCGTCTCTTTAAGCGGCCGCCTTTCCGCCGACACCGTCGGCGAAAATTATTTTTACGCGTATCTCGAATTAAACGCCGACGAAGTAACAAGCACCTTCATTTCGTGTACCGCTGTTTCATTAAATGCGATGTCACCCTAAATGTATCTAGTATATTTATACGTTGTGCAAAGTAATATACAGGGTGTTCCAGACCGTAATGGGAGGTTCTTGAGGTGATTTGAAGACGATTTTTTTCCTCAGCGAAAATGTCCAGACGCCAATAATTTTCGAGTTATATATAAACGATTGAAAATAAAAGCTTTCTTGTTAATTAAGCCTTGTGGAAATAAATTATTAACAAAAAACTATATTTTTTAATTAATTTTTAGTTAATAAAGATATATGATTTCAAAAATCGGAATATTCAAAAATTGATAAACTTCCTCGACATTTTCGCTGAGGAAAAATCGTCTCCAAATAACTTTAGGAGTTTTCCATAAACGGATGGTACGGTAAAGCTCTGAGACACCCTGTATATTTTATAAAATTCCGTAATTAAGAATAAGTATTATAATTTTTACTAAAAATGATATCTTGTATTTTAATTATACACACGCAAAAAAATTTTTAATTTTAGAAATATTGAAATTTTAAGTGGAAAAAGACGTATATGGTCAGACAAGACGCTTAATTTTGAACAACTATGAATTTTATACAAAAATATATAAATGTTCTTAAATTGTATTATTATATTTAATTAATTCGATTATATATAGTGTAGCATAGTAGCAATACGGTCTAGACGATACTATTTAACCTATTCTAGCCACGACCTATTAGACTATCTTGCACTTGCAATGTAAGCTGTACTCACATCGGACGCACGAAATTGTCTCGCATGCAAACATTGTCTGAATCTGATTGCGGGCAATCTGCATCACGTGCATTCGATTCTTGCAAAATGGCAATCTCGACAAAATGCATTAAATATATCAATACTTTTTCGTTTAAATACCGCTATTTATATACATGTTCACTGTATTGAAAAGAGGATTTCTGTTTTTAAATAAAAATCGCGAGATAATCCGCGAAACAAAATCATCGAAGAAGAGATAAATCTATTTTTCCTAATCGGGTGATACGCT